GCCTGAATAAGCCTGCCGATTTGTGGGGCTTGAGAAAATATGGATAGGGCGGCCCGTGGGCCAAATAAAAATAAAATAGAGTATTAAAAATAACAAGAGTCTAAACCCAAAATTTGTTTAAAGTTTGAAATATTACAATTTAAAAACAAATTATGTTTATAAATTATGTATTACATAAAATAAAAATTCCCTAAAATTTCTAGGGAATCACTACATAGGCCATGTCTATGGAATATTGTCATAGTTTTTGTGTTTTATTATGATCATTGAAAAACAATTAAGTTAATATTTCTATTTAGCTATTTATGTTTTTACTTGAAATCAAACTTAACAAATATTATAAAGATCATTTTATTTGTGTATTTGATTAACAAGTAGTAACACTAACACCATGTAATATTGTCTGATATTTATGATAATATTTTTAAATTATAATTTAATTTAAAAAATTATAAAAAATATACTTATAAGAAAAGAGAGTTGGCCCGGCAAAGCTCGTAGCCCACGTACTTGTGGGCTGGGCTGAACATTTTCTGACCCACACAAAAAATAGGTTAACCCGACCTGACCCGTCAAATTTCAAAGTCTGTATGGATTAGCTCGAATGGGATGGATCAGCCCATATTGACAGCTCTAATAACAAGCTTTATTAGCCACTCTTTAATGGAAAGTACTTCCTCAATTTCTTTTCTATGACCCTATTTAAAGGGACAAGGAAAATTTAAGTTAGGTTGGTTTGATTATTCATAACTTATAATACTATAGTGAAAATAAAAAAATTAATTAGTAATTTAATGTTTTAATATAATAAATGAAAAACATCGCACGATGCACGTCATTAAAAATTGCATTTTGTAATGCCGACGAATTAATGATATCAAATATTTTTCAAAGTCCATTTATATATATATATATATATATATATATATATATTTATGTAGCCTCTGTACGTAAGCTGGTAAAATGTCTCTATTAATAAAAACAACTCTTCATATCCTACGGTGTGTATTATTGACTATTCTTCAACCGTCAACGCCATGAAATAAAATAATAGAAGTAGCTAGGGTTGTGGTCGATATGAATTTCAAATTTCACAAAAATATTTTTCTAAGAAAACAAACTTCTTAAAATCAAAGAAAATAAGCTCTCTAATAAAAATAGCGAAAATAATTTCTACAAGTGATATTCCACATTGATTGTATCCTTCCATACCTTTAGGCTCTAAGACACTTCATCTTCACCCTCACCCCCTGATTCCCACCATCCGACACCCTCACCTCCCGACCGCATCTCCATACTATTTATCTAAATTATATAATATTTTTTGTGTACTTGCTATAACCGAACACACCCTATGTAAATTTCTAATTTCTCATTGTTATATTATTTCTTGACGTTTTTTCTTTTAAAATCATACATCATTTAAAATGATGACACTATGTTGAGTTCCAATACCTGTTGGGGATAAGGTTTTGGTCTTGAGCAATCCTTCAAATTAATTTTGAAGTTAAGTTGGACTCAAAGTTTCATATGTTTATCACATTATAAAGACATTACTACTCAAGTATTCTACAATCTAAATTATCTGACTTTCTTATTTTTCAAAAGTCAAATACATTGATATTTCACTAATTTTAAATTGTATTATGCGTCAACTACAACTAAGAAAGATAAGCAATTAGGTATTTCTGCACGATTTCAAAGTGAAAAAAGAATCTTATATTCAACAGCTGATATATGTTGATTTAGTTCAGATGAAATTAGTTTGACTTTTCATTTTGATGTGAATCTAGGATATTATACAAAGATATCATTTAATTATATTTATATTCGAGTGTATTGTACTCATATTTCCTAGATTGAGTATAATTTATACTCTTTTCTTTTTATTTATTAATTGTCATGTTTAAAAAAATAATAGCAGGAATATATTTGTGCTTCTTTTCCAGTTTCAGTTCTCACCACTTCGCAGGATTTTGTAGTCAAAAGTACACATTTGGACAAATTGTTTTTTGGCAAAAAAACTTCTTTTTTAGGTTTAGACGATGGTTATCCATACGGATGACTCAGGATCTCCCATCAATGTCTTCTGAATTAAGCCTATCAAGTGAGTGTCACATATGGGAGGTTTACCCCGTGCGCATAAAGTGTTCATTACAGAGTGTTCACTTAAAGGGCATAGACAGTAAACAGAGGTTATAGCCACATTGGATTATGTTGGGTTAAAAAAAATAAACTTATACTATGTCAATATACTTATCTAAGGCCTTTATCTAGAAGTACAGCACTGTACGTTTCTTTTTCACTCTATTTCTTTATTTAGTATATTAATAAATAAATCACCATCTTTGCTGGTGTCTTTTATGGGGTTTCCTATAATATATTTCCCAAATGGACCTACTCATATAAGACCGTTGTTCTAGGGATCTGTACTTTTTGTTACAAGATTTGATTATATTCCGTGAAAAATATTTACCTGATTCTTAAACTTAATTTAGGTGATTCAAATATAAAGTAAAAAGTCAGAATATATATTACTTAATCATGATTTAGTAATAAATTTGCATGGAAAAATCATAATTCATTCATTGATTTGATATAAATATCGCTTTTAAAGCATCTTTTGAGCTTATGGGTCATTATTTGCAAGTTTGGGCTTTCTTGGGTTTATCTTTAGTTTTAGTTAACAATTAAAAGATCTTTAGAAATTGAAGTCATGTCTAAACATAACTTGTGGAATATTATGATACGAAAATATAAATGACCGTGAGGCTGAGACAAAAGTGTAAATGGTTTCATTTAATGTGGGCACAGAAGACATGAAGCCAAACCAACCAAGATCCATCCAGCCTGGTTTTTTCCAATTAAAGGTGCTTCTTTTTTCTGCTCAACCACCCAGTATGATCTACTACTATATGTATTTATGCCAAGACTTCACTATCTTAAAAAGTCAACTGTTTAGACAGATCAGTTGGGGCCTTAATTTTCAGTAGAAAAAAGAAAATGTCAAAATCCCCTAGCAAAAGAGAAAATATGTTGTAGAGATGTTTTTAATTAGAAGGTTTGACCAATAATTGAGGGAGTTGGCAGCAGGAACCATGTCTTTGAAATTTAAAGCAAGAAAAAGAATATAGTCTATTAGATAATAGTATTGTATGTGTAATATTTGTCTCTATTTAATCAATCTGTTTCCTGTTAAGAAATTTTGAAAAGAACCTGATATGTAGCAAAAAGCTCTTTTTTTTGCTGTTGCTGTAGACTTTCTTTTCTCAGTTTGTAGTCATGGGAAGCAGTCATTTCTTCATCATCTTTCTGTTGAACTTTCTGTTGATTCTTTGTCCTTCTGTTTCACTTCCTTTGTGTACTGATTCAAGTAAGTTTTTTTTTGGGTTGTTCAAGATTTTCCATTTTGTAGTTACATGTTCTTGTTCTAATTTCAATTTTCTTGATGCTTTACAGGGGCTCCTCTGCCTCAAAAGACTCCACTTACATTCTGTCCTTATAATGGAACATCATGCTGTAACTCTGGTGATGATAAGCAATTGAAGAACCAATATGATGCTATGAACATTTCTGATTCTGGTTGTGCTTCTCTAGTGAAGTCTATCCTTTGTGCGGTAAGACGATCCTTGATCTGTTTAAATTTATATATTCTTGCTAAATATAACCACTTCTTCTGAGTAATCATGAACATATAGTTAGTCTTCAGTCGATTAAATCCTTTCATAAGTGTGGAACAATGTATTTGTAGATGCAGCAAAATTTAATAAACTGGAATTGCATTAATATAAATATAAGACTCATGCTGCTTTTACAAGCTTCTAAGGTCCTAATTACTAATACCTTAGTTGCAATATATAGTAAGGAACATATTCATATCCTATTTTCCTAGTCTTGCAGCATGAATATATGTGTTTTAAGATAGCCATTTTGTATTAAGGATCTATTCTTTATCTTATCAGTTAGACTGCCAATTTTTTTATTGCCTGTTTTATATAAAACCAGAAATTCATCCTATTTAAAAACTCCTGGTTTTCTGTGGTCAAGAGACAAATCTGTATCAAGATGGCTCTCTGAGATACTTTGTACTGATTTATTTGGAAGCTATGAACTTCCGTTTTTAAAGACTCGTACTTCATGTAACTGGTTAAGGAAGACGGTAGGATTAGAAATATTACTGAAGGATTCGCTGTCCAAATTATCAGTTTACAAATTTGCATCTATCTTCTCTATTGGATCTTGATGCATGAATTTCTGTATTTTCACCTTCTGCAGAAATGTGATCAGTTTTCAGCAGATCTCTTTAGTACTAGTTCTGCTCCTAGACAGATTCCAATACTGTGCAACTCCACAACTTCAGCAAATTTTACGCAATCTAGCCAAGCTACGAATAACTTTTGCTCTAAAGTTTGGACTACATGTCAAAATGTGTCCATCGTGAATTCTCCCTTTGCTGCTTCCTTGAAAGGTCGAGCTCCAACACCTGTAAAGTCCAATTCCACCAAGTTGACGGATCTCTGGCAATCACAAGACGATTTCTGTAATGCATTTGGAGGAGCTTCTGGTGATGAATCAGTATGCTTTGCTGGAGAACCTGTTGCCTTAAATACCACTGAACCTTTAAGTCCTCCAGGTGGTTTGTGCCTTGAGAAGATAGGAAATGGTAGTTATCTCGATATGGCTGCTCATCCTGATGGTTCTAATCGTGCCTTTTTCTCGAATCAGCAAGGAAAAATATGGTTGGCTACCATTCCAGAAGTTGACTCTGGAAAGGTGTTAGAGCTTGATGAGTCCAATCCTTTTCTGGATCTAACTGATGAAGTTCATTTTGACACTCAATTTGGTATGATGGGGATTGCATTTCATCCAAAGTTCTCACAAAATGGTCGTTTCTTTGCTTCGTTCAATTGCGATAAGCAATCATGGGCTGGATGTGCAGGAAGATGCTCTTGTAACTCGGATGTGGATTGTGATCCATCAAAACTACCTAGTGATAGTGGTACCCGGCCATGCCAATATCAAACAGTTATAGCAGAATTTACTGTCAATGGAACAGCAAACCAACCATCAGAGGTAATTTTCAGTCTAAAAGGAGTTAACTTTTCCCATTGTTATTTGACTCTGAATAATAGTGATTTATTTGATCATTTCCAGGCAAAATCTGCCAGCCCCATAGAAGTCAGAAGAATATTCACCATGGGCCTTCCTTTTACCTCTCATCATGGAGGCCAGATTCTTTTTGGACCTAGCGATGGATATTTGTATTTCATGATGGGAGATGGTGGGGGTATTGGAGATCCTTACAATTTTTCCCAAAACAAGAAGTCGTTGCTTGGAAAGATTATGAGACTTGATGTCGATAGCACACCAAGTAAGTTGTCTTCAAGTTTCTTGAAAAAGTACTCTTATATCAATTTACAGAATTTCTTATATCCATTTGTCTATGCTAACTTTGATGGTCTTGCCACTACTCTAAACTACCATAATTCATGTTGTAAAAAGTTTTCTTCTTGTTCCGTGTCTGTCGCCTTTTTGTTCTGCCTTTTTTTGCAGCTACCATGCATTTCTTGCCAAAACCTTCATCTGTTGATCCTCATGTAGTGTCAAATTGTTTGAGAGTAACACGTTCTAGGATGGAAATGAAGCATTCTTTGTTCAACTGAGCTGCCCCTTATTTTATCTGTGGTTGTTTTAGGTGCTGCAGAGATTACCAAGCTTGCTTTATGGGGAAACTACACCATTCCAAAGGATAATCCTTATATTGAAGATAAAGAGTTGCAGCCAGAAATATGGGCACTAGGAATGCGAAATCCTTGGCGCTGTAGTTTCGATTCTGCAAGGCCATCTTACTTCATGTGTGCAGATGTAGGCCAGGTAATGTTCAAGAAATTTACTCTCCAAGCAATTCTCATAAAACATTTTTGTTTAACAGGTAACAAATATGCTTCTGGAATCTTATCTGTCCACTTTCAAGCTCCATACAAAATTTATACCAAGAATCCATACATTTCATCACTCCATAAGTTCATCTAATTGTTCTGGCTTTGACACATTGCACTTTTTTATCCCATAGGATCATTATGAAGAGGTGGATTTAATCACCAAGGGAGGAAACTACGGTTGGCGTATGTATGAGGGTGACAGACTATTCACTCCTTCAAAAAATACATCTATAAACCCAATTTTCCCAGTCATGGGTTATAATCACTCTGATATAAATAAGGCTGAAGGTTCAGCCTCAATCACTGGTGGATACTTCTATAGGTCCACGACCGATCCTTGCATGTCTGGAAAGTATGTCTACTAATTCAATTCTTCTCCAAGTGTTGGATTATATAACTTTATGGTAACTAACATAAAACTATTGCAGGTATCTGTATGCAGATTTATATGCAGGTGCTATGTGGGCAGGCACTGAAACCCCTGAGGACAGTGGAACATTTAACACGACCGAAATTCCATTCACTTGTGCTGGAAATTCCCCTATAAACTGTGAATTAGTTCCAGGAAGCACAGTTCCAGCTTTGGGATACATTTTCTCATATGGTGAGGATAATAATAAGGATGTATTTCTCCTAGCAAGCAGTGGTGTATACAGGGTTGTTCGTCCCAGTCGATGTAAATACACTTGTTCTAAGGAAAATGCTACTGATATTGCTACTCCAGCAGCTCCTGGTACTTCCCCTCCTTCAGCAGCAGTCATGTTTACAGGTTCATACAAGAATTTAGTACTACTACTATTGTCCTTTTGGTTGATGGTCATCAGTTGATAATATAATGGATGCTGCTTAAGCTATTTTATGTGTATAGAGGAACACAAAATAGGCTGCTTAATTAGTTTTAAGTATTATATTATATACAATTGCTCTCTTTGCTTTCTTTTAGTTCATTGCATGAGTATTGTTTCTGGATTTTTTGGCAATTGTTGGATGTAATATATGCAAATGGTGGTCAATAATTTGTGAGGATTGTCACTTAATTTATAACTACTAACAATAAAATAAATCCATACTTACTAGTACTAGTATTTTGGTAGACTATAGGAGTTGTCCAAGGTGTTGATAAATGTAAAAATGACTTATTCTTAGAAAAATATACACATTTTAGGGACAAAATAAAAACAAGTGTTAGCAAAGATTGCCCTATTTTGATGTGGTCTTTAATATTTATCTTTATTGTTCATTTAATGAAAAATTGTATCTAGTTTCGCTTGACATAAGTTAAGAGGACTTTTGCTTGATTCGACATAAGTTGTGTGGTATGAAATTTTATCTACCTCTTACAGCATAGTCTATTTTTCGACCAAATTTTGATTTCCTTTTGCTTCTTCGGATCGTTGAGACTTGAGCCTGATTGGCCCAATTGAAAGATGGGCTGATCAATTATGCCGGTCCTTTCGAAATGATGAGTAGAAATTGGGCCCATGAAAGCTGAAGCCTAAAGTCTGCCCAGAAATATAATGGAGCCACTGCCCAATGGTTGACAGTGTAGAAAGATTTGATAAATTCAACATCTAACTCTTCCAAAATTTTAGAAATAGCAAACATAATAAGGCTTTAAGCCTATAGTTTTGATAATTACGCTCCATAGTTATAGTTTCGTGTGCTATGAAGGTTGTGGTTTGTATATTTCTGCCGTTTGTATTTTTGTTTGCAAATATACAAATATGGTAAGTATATATAAATTCTATATTTATATATTTAGGATTTTTTTCAAAGCTCTGTTTATATATTTCGCTTGTAAAAATACACAAAATAGTTGGGGTAAGCATATACAAAATTCTGGATTTATACAATCAAGAACCGAATTATACAAATACTGGATTTATACAAATCAGACGAATAGCAAGAATTGAGGAAACTTTAGCCGTAAATTACAATTTTCTTAAACTGTAGCTATAGTACCTAATATATGTTAAATGTTTGTTATTCTGCATAATTTTTCTCAGGGGCGGAGCCACCTTATATCCGACGGAAAATTATCATATTTACACCTGGTTAAATTATTTTTTTATGTATATATAGTAGATATCAAACCCCCTCGGCTACTTCGTCTGTCTATTTCTACAGATTTTAAACCCCCTTATTGAAATCTTGGCTCCACCACTGATTTTTCCTATATCTAGTATCATAGTCTCACCTCAAATATTTCAAAAATCTTGTCAATGAATTTTAATAATCATGGTAAAGATTATGAGTATATCTACTCGAATATTTACAAAACAGGCTATATATTAAAATTAGCAGATTATTAATTATTCGAACATATCTATTTTGAGAAACAATTTCTTGAAGATTGAGTAAATTAAACACACTCTAATGCATCAAGAGAAGAAATAACATCGGCAATTAATTTAGAACCATTTTCAAAATGATAAGTACATATTTCGTCACCATTCTTTTTTATAAAAAAATAAAAAATTCCTCAATTAGGTAGTGTAACATTAGCGAGATATGTCCAGTTTTTAATTAATTTTATTAAAGAGAATAATCTTTCCACAATTCATAATAAAATTTGTTTAATCTCATATTACAAAATCCTAACGCTCTACTATGTAGCAAGCATATAAAATAACTTCTCCTTAAAAGATCATCAATTGTACAAGCAATATAGTGCATCATTTTCTTAAAGGTTTTGTTTTTCTTTTGGTTACTCTATTCATTTTAAATGAGGAACGAAGAGCAACTTCATTAATAATTATTGATTACTTAAAACATATTTGCATTATCGCCATTAAAAATATTTTATCCGATATAGGTGACTCCACTAGAATTTAACAAATTTTCTATTAGAAGCAGAATTAATAAAGATTTCTCATATCAAAAAGTAGAACTTTTATCAAATAGTTTTAAAAAAATCTTAATTGGTTCGTTTGCTCACAAAGAAAGAATATAGATAAATAGAAAAAAATCTGACCATTATAGAAAAAAACAAATAATTGTTCACTTCATTAGGAGACAATGATTATGATTTTGAAACAATGACTCATGAATCGGGGTATATTTTGGATAATGAAATTAATTAGATAATGTCTTGTAGACTCAAAATATAGCAATAATTTTTGTTAAATCAAATTTGAATTAGGTCTCACATATATCTCACGTGTAATGGAAGGACAAATTCATCAATTTGCCTTTAGGAAAAAAATACCACGTACGCAAGCCCATTAAGAGTACTCTTCATAATTCATACATTACATATAAATAAAGAATTTTGTGATAATAATATAATTTTTGTTGTATTATATTATCGACAATGATAAATATGAATATTTATAATCATCACTCTAGATAAAATGCCACTAACGACTTTAAATATTATCTCTAAAAAAATAATTTATTATTACTAAATATTTCTTTTATTATAATGATAATACAAGACGCTTTCTTTTTGAGATACTCTTCAAATTTTCTTACAAAAATCTAATTCATAGAGTGATAACTGCCCTAAACTACATAGAGAGAGATAAATGATCCAAGCACCCAACATATGTGAGACTCATCTCGTCTATTGTTCTTTACTACATATATGATGAGGTGCAACAAGTATTGTGTTTTTAATACAAATTTTTGAAGTGATATATTTTATCCACTTTTTAATTGTAAATTTTATTTTAAATTCTAAATATACAATATTATTAATGTATCTATCCTCATAATTTACTCGCACGTATAGATCACTTAACATTAGTCACGATGAATATTTTAAAAAATCATTATATAATCAGTTTTAAATATTAACAACCATTTTTTATAACAATAGTTCACTATAATTACCTAATCTTCATTAAAATCAACTTTCATATCATATCATATAATATTCAAACAAATAACATCGTTATAAAAAAGTTTAACTATTTTTCCTTAGTAATGTAAATGTTGAATCTTGGTATGGCTAACAAGTACTTTATGTTGTATCTTAATTTTGAACAAGCCTAAATTACTTATAATCTAGCTTCTACAATAATCAATGGAATCTTCATGTGGTCAAGATTTTTTATCCCCCCACCTCTTTTGTAACATTATAGGGAAACAATCCTACTTTTTTTTTTTTTTTTGCCTTTCTAATTGTAAATTTTATTTTAAATTCTAAATATACAATATTATTAATGTATCTATCCTCATAATTTACTCGCACGTATAGATCACTTAACATTAGTCACGATGAATATTTTAAAAAATCATTATATAATCAGTTTTAAATATTAACAACCATTTTTTATAACAATAGTTCACTATAATTACCTAATCTTCATTAAAATCAACTTTCATATCATATCATATAATATTCAAACAAATAACATCGTTATAAAAAAGTTTAACTATTTTTCCTTAGTAATGTAAATGTTGAATCTTGGTATGGCTAACAAGTACTTTATGTTGTATCTTAATTTTGAACAAGCCTAAATTACTTATAATCTAGCTTCTACAATAATCAATGGAATCTTCATGTGGTCAAGATTTTTTATCCCCCCACCTCTTTTGTAACATTATAGGGAAACAATCCTACTTTTTTTTTTTTTTTTTGCCATTCTTCACTAGTTGACCTGAGCACCTGGCACATTTTTTCTGTCAAAAAAATAAATACATCAACAGTACTTAGACGGCGTCGTTTCATACTTCCTTCTTGAAACCCTTGCCCTTAAGTCTGAACCAAAGTTGTCTCAATGCAGGATTCATAATTTTTCATTCACAAATCACAATATAAATAATAATAAATTCCAAAAGTTGTCAAATTTACCAATTCTAGTCCCAATTTAACCTAAATTTACCATTCCAGTCACCAATCCCTCATCACTCTTTCCCTTTTACCCCCTAAAATAGTTTTCTCAGATATCCCTAAATTCTCTTCTCCCTTCTCCGTCTTCCCTAAATTTCTCTTTCGAAAACCAACACTAAACACACCAAAAAGCTCGAATCTTTTTTTGCTAATTATCACCATCATTATTGCAAGATTATTACCCATGTTCCATTTTTTTGGATGATGCTTTCTTTTTACAGTTGCAGTGGCAGGAGCTTTGCAGTTCTTGATAATATTTCAAAGCAAAAACCCCAGCTTTCTTCTTCAAACTTGTTCTGTAAAGGGTTCTTTTTCTTCAATGCAACCCCACGATCTCTACCTGTAAACCCTTCATAGACAATCCCTTCTCCGATCCCCTCATTATCATGTCCGACCCACAACCCTCTTCTTCTTCTTCTCCGATCCAACACGAAACTAACCACACCCACAACGAAAACTCTCAAAACAAAGCTTCCCATTCACCGGAGAAGAAAAGTTCACAGAATAACTTTAACAGTAATAGTAATGCTAATAATAGTAGTAGTAATATAGTTAGGAGAGAGAGGCCGGCGAGGGAGTGTACCAAAAGGGCTGCGGCGAGGTTACAGGCAGCAGCAGCAGCCGAGGCGGAGGCTGTTTCTAAGGTCAGGAAGAAAAAGACTGCAGGTAGGAAAGAAAGGCTAGCGGCTAGGTTGTTGAGGGAGGAGGAGGATGAAGAGAAGTCCCAAGAAGGTGATGATGAGGAGGAGGTAGAGGAAGGTGAAAACGGGTCGCCTTCTTCGCGGCAACAATGTGGCAAGATTGTCACACAGCTTATGGGAGAGCCCGAACCATCGCAGTTGCCTCGGTGGAATATACGGTCCATGTGGCAGTTAGCTTCCATATTGAATTTCTTGAATGTATGTTTGAAGCTGAGCAAGTTTGGAACTTTATGTTACATGTGCAATTTTTGGGGATAAATGCTTACTTTTTTTTGTGAGGTTGTAGGTTTTTAGGCCTTTGTTGAATATTAGAGTGGAGTTTTCAGCTGAGGAATTTGAAACAGCATTGATTACTCCGAATGATACACTTGGTGATATACATATGCCATTGCTAAAGGTTGGTGAATTTGTCCAACTTCATTTGATTTTGGTGGAAGTTGAGATTTTCTGTAAATTGGGTGTAGTACCTTCACAATTGACTGTAGTTCTTCTTGCTGTGGTGATTCCTTTCACAAAACTGTAATTATTTTCGTATTTATGAACCTTTGAATTTAACTTGCATTATCTGCTGCTTGAAAGTTGAAAAGAGTTTATGCCCCATCTTTAAAACTAGTATTCTCTGTTCTCCTATGTTTTTTTCTTCATTGGGGGTGAGGATGCCTGCCAAGTTTCCACCTTTTTAACCTTTGATGCTGTTAAAAGGGCCGTGGAACCACTTGGAGTCGAGGACAATTTGAGTAGAGAAATACTGATATCAATTATGTGTTGTGCTAAGTCCTCGAATCTGTATAAAAAGTTTTCTAAGAAACATGTAGAATTAACTTTTTAAGTGACTTTTGCATGCATAACAATGCATCTATACCCTGAAAAATATGCAGTTTGGTCTGAATTTTGTTCAATCGCTAGCATCAGGTAGAGAAACATCGTTTTCAATATCTTGCTGGTGAAGGAGTTGTGTCCTTTGTGGAGCTAATCCTTAGATATATGTTTTTGCTCCAACAAACATGCATTCATTTGGGAGGGGGTCGGAATAAGTAGTATTTCTTATGACATGCCGCTGACATTGACCATAAGTGTTGAGCAGATTAAATATTAACCTTATATGATAAAGGTTTTGTATTTATTTAAAGTTAGTGGATGAAGTGTGACAGACATGAAATGTTTACCGTGAAGAGATATCTCTTTTTACCAGGTCATCCTTCCTGAAATTTTTATACAGAAATCTCAGCCTATAATGGTCAAAGATGTTGCAAATGCGGTTGAGAGAAAATAGATGGAGAAAGTTAATATACTTTTCAATTTTCATGATAGGGATAGGACTTGGTGTCTAAATGGCATTAAAAGAAGTTCGAGGGGAGCATGTGGGTTACTTCATTAGACGTTATATCTTAAGTAGAGGTAGACAATGATGATCTGTAATCAATACTATGATTTGCTTGAGCATTAGTGCCATCCAGTTTGATTAGTTCGATTGTCCATACCGGATTACTAGTGATTAATGTTTTATTCATTTAAACACTGCGAGTGTGATTGGAACATATTAGCAGTATTTTGCTCCTCTGGATCTCTTCCGTACTTCTCAGTAAACTATGTTAGTCGTTAGTGGCCTTATTGTTTGTAACCTTTGTATGATATAGCTGTCAGAAACCACATAGGGTGGCATTCTTTGAGATGGGCATACATCCTGCTGGTTTTGACATTACCAAAGAGGAACAGTCATGTTTGGTGCTACTAGTAAATAGTAATGGAGAAATGATGTCTTGTGTGCATATAGTTGGTCGCTGCCCTTGTTCCATGTTTAGTCAGGTTAAACTCAACTCTTTTGAGGAAGTGGTGTGGTGTTTTAGGGGTTTGGTGTAGATTTTCATGTGTGAAAGAGGAAGTGCTCGAAGGAGGTATTCCTATTTTTATCCCAAGTAAATATGATACTCATTGGAGGAACAAACCAAAAGAAAGATGGGCTTGCATTTGGGGTGAACATGCTCGACAGATCAGAAAAATCATCCCATGCTTGACAGATTAGAGAAGTTTTAATTCAAAGTTAACTGCAAATTCACCCCATGCGTTACAGATTAGAGAACTGTGGATTCTAATCTGCCATTTTTACTAGGCAGTCAATCTTTGCCTCCGTAATTTGTCCCCATTCTCGTTGTCCTTGAGCCTCACCTTAAGATTGTTTTACTGGTTAAGAGGACTGGACTGTTTTCTTGGCCATTCCTTTAGCTAGCTTTTATGTTCTATGGGGAGGCTACTCAGGGACATAATTTGTTTCTCCTTGAGCTTTATATTTAAAGTTGTGCTTCCAATATTTCAGTGAAAAAAACTCAATAAAAGGAAAGATGTTTCAATGATTTTAACCACCAATGATACAACATACCTGTATATATACATTTTCATTCCTAGTACATTGTCGTAACTTTTTGCTTAAATACACTTACATTGAATTCTACCTTTGTAAGTTTTTTTGTTTTCTTATTTCTGTTTTCCCCTATCTCTGTAGGCAATCCCACCGGTTACTCGAATGGCACTTGGACGCAATACATGGATTACTGTTTTGTGCAGGAAATTAAGAGATTGGTGGCATTGGGTAACTTACCATTTAATCAAATTGAGTGAGCTTTTGTTGTGCATATGCTTAAATAGCTAACTGATAGCTTGCTGCAGGTTGCAGAGGGGGAACTACCTATAGTTGCAGCACAAGGGTGAGTAACATAGATTTTTGTTCTTGAAGTGCTTATAGTTTGCATATGTACTTATCGAAAAAAAAAGTTTGTGTATGTTAACAAAGTACCTTTGAATTTACAGGGCTGAAATTGAAGCATATAGTGCACTAGATCCTGCAGTCCGCGTGGTGATTTTGAAAGCATTGTGTGATATTCGTGTTGAGGTATTTCAAATCTTAATCTTTTTTACCATTATTCCTGTTATCTGTTTTGTACTTACGTTAGTTCCTAGCTCACTTGGGTTATCAATGATTCTTGAAGGCTAATGATTTCTTAAACCATCTTTGTCACATTCTCATTGGTTCAGTTTGACTTGGTTAGAGTTGAGGTAGTCAAAAGTATTATACTCAGAAAAGATGCTAGAGTTTTACTAGGGTTGTCCTTAGACTTAGTTCTCTAGGAACTTATCCAGAAAATATATTTTAAAAAGGAAAATATCTATCTGAGTTATCAGAGGTAAATCAGACTTAACTTCGTTAATTGATTCAGACACTTAGAAACTAAATGAATGTGCAATCTTTCTCATTGCAATTTTCCAAAAAAATAAGTTTACCATAGGCAGAGATTAATTCTGTTTGGCTCTTGATAAGTGAAATTGGACTGCCATTGTTGATCGAGGACGTAGTTGTCTCACACGTTTGGAACATCTCATAAAATGAAAGGTATAGTAGTTTTGGAAATCTATCATTAACCTGTTTCTTGTGGTGAAGTTCTCCATTTACTAGATGTGTCTGAATTATGTTACGTTTTTTCTAGAATTAGGTTTAGTTCCACTATACGGGGCCTCGTTTCCTTCTCAACAAAAAGGACACATATAAAAAGGGGGAAAAAAATTAACCGCAGTACCGCACTTTCCTGCATCATAGTATCATACAGACGTCTGTACTATTAGCTAAGTGGATTTGTAGAGCATTATATTCAAATTAAGAGAAGGAAGAGAAGAAGGCACTTCAAATTGTCAAAAAGGGATAAACTGGGTGATTGTTAGTATAATCTATAACCTATTTTTCATACTTTGGTCCAAGTACTCTTTTAGGAGATTCAAATGTCTGGTTTTGGGATCTTCTAAATGCACCAAATCATCTAACCTAAACGATAGAGATAGGTCTACCACATGTAATTTTCTTCCATCCATAAGGGTAAGAAGAGAAGTATAAAAATATTTTTTCTCAAAAATCAAGGATTTGCTGGAATTTTATGAGATGGTTCTTTTTAATATATTATTATAAATACAGATGTGGTGAGGCCTTACTCAAAAACAAAAAATAAAGATGTGGTGAGGCAGAGTAGTCCTTCAAACTTTTCTTGATCGCCTCGTACTCTGATGATATACAAACATACATAGCCTACTCTTGATTTTATGTGTACTTGCTGAACTTTTTAATTTTAAAATGTGTCATTTGAGGTCCCAATATGGTTGTTTATTGTGCAGCAAGAAGATATTCGTAACTACATTGACGAAAACTTGAAACAAGGTGTTCATCTATCACTATTCCGAAAAGAACGTATTGGTGGTGATTCTCATGGAATTTCTTACTGGTAAGAGCAACTTCGCTTCCAATAATTCCATTTCTCTTAGATATTGTGCATAATAGCGACAGTATTGTTGGTGCGCTTAAGCCCTGAAGCTCAGTGAAGTTCAGTTGTGCTCTTCACCTCCCTTAATTTGCACTTTAGTGTAGGCATCAAGGTGCCAAGGCATGCACAGTTGCACACCTTCACCTATGAGTTGTCATTAAGGGCACACGATAGCTTAATTATAGTGTTTCCAGTCTTCTGTCCAAAGAATACATTTTTGTGTTTATATTTACATTTTCTTGCATAACATTTCTTATCTTCTATTTTTTCTTCATTGGCACTTTTATTTGCTGAAGCCCACACTTCAATCTCAATGGGTGCTTTGTGATGGCGCTTTTTCTGCTTTTCGGTTTTGATTACTTTGAATAGTGATTTTTACAAGTTCTCTCAGCACTTGATGGAGAATAGTATTTTCTCACGGTCAATGTTCATTGCTAAAGTCTGTTTGTTTTTTTACTTCATTTGCAGGTATGAGAATGATCCCATAATTGGGCATCGACTGTACCGAGAGATTAGAAAGATCGAAATCAAGAAAGGAAAGGGAAAGACTGTACCGCAAATACCTAGCTCATGTTATCAGTGGGAAACTGTTGCAACTAACTTGGACGAATTCCAGGATGTTTCTGTAAGTTCTTAATATGGTCAATCACTTATATTTATCTATTATGTTTTAGTTTGCAGAATGGAATTGTGGAAAGATCGTTGGAAAGTCCTTGCATCATTAGTAATTGATTTTTCAATAATTTTACTGTATGTAACTTCTAATTTCATTTTTTCCTCTCTATTTGTTAAGGCTTGCCTTTTGCTTTGTGTATTGTCAGTAACCTAGATTTCCAGTCCACAACTAGATATTTTTTCAAAAAATAGAAGTCATAGGTAAGTGCTGGTTAATAAGAAACAAGGATATATATTCAGAAGATGCGAATGTAGGGCCGTTTGGTTGGAGGAATTAAGTCAGTTTTCCTGGTATGAAATTTCGGATTAAATCAACCTTGTGTTTTTTTTTTTTTTTGAGGACAAGGGAACCCCGCAGCCGCTACCCTTTGGGTGCGCACAGGGTAAAACCCCCGCTCCTATGCAAAAGCTCGCAAACCACAGAGCAGAGGTAACCCGCACTAGGCAAGCCCGGCACGACGAGCTCGACACAGAAGGCAAACCCCTTGCTTTCGCTGGCAAGGGGTTTCGAACTTGAGACCTCCAACAGGGAAGTCCCAAGCCCAAACCACTGGGCCACCCCGAAGGGTAAATCAACCTTGTGTTTTTTTTTTTTTTTTTTTTTGATGACAAGGGAACCCCGCAGCCGCTACCCTTTGGGTGCGCACAGGGTAAAACCCCCGCTCCTATGCAAAAGCTCGCAAACCACATAGGAGAGGTAACCCGCACTAGGCAAGCCCGGCACGACGAGCTCGACACAGAAGGCAAACCCCTTGCTTTCGCTGGCAAGGGGTTTCGAACTTGAGACCTCCCACATGGAAGTCCCAAGCCCAAACCACTGGGCCACCCCGAAGGGTAAATCAACCTTGTGTTTTTTTTTTTTTTTGATGCCAAGGGAACCCCCCAGCCGCTACCCTTTGGGTGCGCACAGGGTAAAACCCCCGCTCCTATGCAAAAGCTCGCAAACCACATAGGAGAGGTAACCCGCACTAGGCAAGCCCGGCACGACGAGCTCGACACAGAAGGCAAACCCCTTGCTTTCGCTGGCAAGGGGTTTCGAACTTGAGACCTCCCACATGGAAGTCCCAAGCCCAAACCACTGGGCCACCCCGAAGGGTAAATCAACCTTGTGTTTGGTTGAGGGTATTAGGTAAAACCATTTATATGGTATCTATGCCATGTAGAGGGTGAGAGATATAATCTTGGTTATAATCCCAGGATAACCTGGTTTCGAACCAAATGACCCCCAAGGATACAATAGGAAAAGGGGAAAATTCAACCAATATTTAGATACTACACACATAGTAGGTATTAGTAGGGGTGTGTATTCAGTTACCGGTTTGGTTTTAGAAATAACATGATTTTTTTCAATTTTTGGTTTTGAGAAAGTGTAATCTTATTCAAACCCAACTAGGTTCGGTACGGCTGATTTTTCTCCGTTTAGTGTCTAGTGCAAAATGCATTTCAAAGAAAAAGCAGTCACGTTCATGGGAAGTCATCTTTTGTGGTCTCGTAATCTACTCTAAGCAAGTATATTTCTTTCCTATTTTAAAAAAAAATATCTTTATATGGAAATGTGGTTGGTTGGTTATTAACTTATTTTCTTTTATTAATTGGGTTGATATCTAGTCTACTTAAATTTTGGTCAAAAGGCATTTTTTCTATGATAATTGCAGTCTGAATAATTAAGTGTCTAACTTCACATCGTGGGCAGTTTTAGCTGATACTTGGAAAGAAATGCTAATTGAGGCAGATAGAAATTTGTAAACAAGATGATATACAGACTCTGGTTGATCTCTCACTTGATTGTCTTAAAGTAACTAATTGCCTGATTATCTTTGTGCTAGTTTAGACACAATCTAGTAGAACAATGAAAAACTCTAGCTTTTATTTATCTGCCAATTTTTTTGAGTATTTGTTGTGCTGTGCCGTTGCATGCGTAAGACATAGAGGTTTCTGATGACAAAGAAGTCTGTTTGAAGAGCTAACTTTTGAGTTTTAATCTTTTATCAAGTTCAGAAAGTTTATTTTTCCTTGTGTCTCCAGCAAGTGTGTTTTTTCCTGGAGAGCTGCATAACAGTGCATACCTGTTGAACTTTCTCCAACCCACTGGAAAAGAAATGATTGTGGTATTATTTGAAACAACATTAGTAAGTGGTGGATAAGCTATTAGCATTTATTATGTAGATTAATGAGAAGAGAGGAAAAAATGTAGATTCTAGTTGAAAGACCTTTTGTCTTGAATGGTGGACTTATCTGGGGGTGGGGGTGGAGGTGCAAGTGCAAGCATTGAGATAGTACTGCACATTATGAAGCGGGTATCATGTCCAAACTTCCTCCCTATAACGAGCTATTATCAAAGCCATAACCTATTTAACATAAGAAGAAGTTTATGAACAGTTTCCACAATTAGGTACCAAATGAACAGTACAAATAGAGATGATTATTCTCTTTAATTCCTTCTGCACAGATTTGCTGTACATCTGTCTCTTTTCTACCAATTATGTTTGAGTCATGCAGACTTCATGCACCCATAACCCAAGAAGAAAAGACCACCTTTTATGGTCTGTAGTCTCCAAAATCATTTTCTAGCCCATTGTGAAATTTGTGTAGCAATTGATAAGATCTGATAGAATGACTTTACAGTACCTTGACTGCTTTGTGCAGTCCGCAACAGAGTGTCTGCTTCTGCAAAGAAAAGATTGAGGTGCCCCACTCTCTCTCTCTCTCTTTCTTTCCAGTCAAAACTCTTTTCTTCTAAAATAGGTTGCCCACCCTTTTTTTAGAAGAATGGAGGTTCTTCATTAGTTACTTGCATTGAGGAAATATCATAAGAACACAGACTGCTTGCTTGCTCATTCTCTATTCTGCATTGAGCTCTGTATCTGCTGCAAAATTTAATTCGGAATTAGAAAGGAGACATCAACTGGTGGTTCAGAATTAAAAGGGATATTTCCCCTGAAGGATATCCATCAACTGGTTTACAACCTACAGAGAAGAATCTGAATTTCAAACCTATTGTGCAGGTATCTTGAACAATGAATTCTGGACAAGCCTAAAAACGGTTGAACCTTTTTGAACCATGAAAAGTAGAAAATAGGCCATGCTCTTATATATAGTTCTATATGAGGGATTGAGGGTTTGCTCTTTTATATCCTTGTCATTAACATTGTGCTTTTGAGTCCTCAAGGTTGCATGTTTCTTGCTGGGGAAATCGTTGGTTATACTCTCCTACCCAAAAGATGAGAAATGAAGTTGTCTTTACTATTTTTATCTTGACGGTGCAGATGACATGCAACCTTAATTCTTACAGTTAGAACCATAAATTTTTTCTCGTGCTTTAACTTCTGTTCTATTGTGAGTTGTCATCATACTTGTAAACATTTCTTGCTCTCAAGTAACAATTGGACTTACTGAAAACCATATGCATCCATTAATGTTATCTTGCCGCATGCTATCTGATGTCCACTGGTGGTGATATTGGATTATTGCTGAAAGGTTGGTGAGGCGCTGACTATGATACTTGAATGCTACGTTAAGATTTTAACCTGAATCTTCTTGTGTAATCAAATTGTAAATTGTGTTTAAGCAGCACAACGAAGAGTGAGTGAAATAGATAGTGGCAGTAACACTGTTTGATTGTTGTTTTATGGCTTGCTAAGGAAATATGGGGATGAGGGAGACCATGGATTGTATGCTGACATGGGCTCTATTTCCTCGGCAATGTATTTGAGGGATTTCTCTGCAATGCACTAGTTATACTGTTTTTTATTTGTGTTCGTAAAAGTTGGTATACCAATCGTTATTGGTGCCGAGATGGGTTCTGTTTCCATGACAAAGCTTTTGAGAGTTTTGCCTGTTAAGTCAGAAAGTGAAATTTAGTGCTCTCTTTTAAAAAAATTAGAATATAATTCCAAGTTCACTAATGAGCTTTTAACCAATAGTCTCTCTTTCATTTTCTTAATTTCATCGTTTGCATTCCTGATCTTGTGGGGATCAATTTTTGTTGTCATTAATTGACAATACTTTGGACCTCAGCAGAATGGAAAAGTATTTGGTGATAGCGACTTAAATTTGAAGTAAATTAGCCAAGTGTGGGTATGTGTATACGTGTTTATTGTGCAACACACACACACAACACACCATTGTGTTAAATCTGGTAAGATGCTGATAAGTGAAATCGGAAGTAGTTTTATAGTTGGCATGACATTTCTGTGTTTTCATTGCTGAATTGGTTTGATTTGAATCAGTAAGATTTCCAGATGACCTTGCATTTCCATCTGCTAAGCTTTCCCCTCCCTACTAAAACGAAGCAATTTGGGAAGTAACCATCACCTTTGATTTGAGGACATCAGTCCCAGCTTAATATCATCACTTTCCCCTTAACACTATTTGATGACCCGACTATTTTGCTTCTGTAACCCTATTTCCTTTCTCTTTTTGTTTCCTACCAACACTATTGCCTCATTATGAAGTACGTCCTCTATGACTATAGGAGAAGCTGTTCTCGAGTAAAAATAGAACAGAGGCTTCTGTTGGAAAGAAGTTGAAAAATGACATGCTTGCTGAGGTTGAGAGGGTCCACAAGGTAATCTACGATTCATTTTCCCCAGCTCTGAGTTGTTCTGTTTTTTGACTTCATATTATGGGACTGTTCTGAGATTGTGTTTTGTGCAGAGAAAAGAGAAATTGCTGAAGAAACAACATAGACAGGCATTGATGCTTGATAACATGCTAAATATGGATGGTCTTTCTGGTGGACGCTCCTTGCGGGATAGGAAGCCTGTGACCTACACATTTGGTAAGTGCACTTTACTTGGTCCTGCTTTTGTGGTGGTTAAGTATTTGGTGTCTAATTGGACATTGGTTACTATGCAGATGATTATGATCGGTCAATTAATGAGGCTATCAAGATAACCAAGTAAGAATGGTTTTTCTATAGGCTAGTCTCTCACTGTCTCCGTCTTTTGTAATATGCTGACATGTTCTTTCCTGTCTCACTTCAGGAATGGTCAACCATCTGCAGAACCTACTTTGAGGAGAGATCCTGCTACAAGGAATGAAACTTCTACAAATGGTAGATTGGGTAGTCCTCCACACTTGTCACAACACGTGTCTTTCAGAGTGCGTTCTCCTAAATCACCCGAATACGATGAATATGACGAAGACCATCATGATGAACAATTAGATCGAAGGTATCTGCTCCATGTGTTTTGAGATCTCTTTGGGTCTTTCCTTCAATGACTAACTGATACTCTTCTTACATGTAGCAACCGTAGGAGGCAGAGACCCCAACGCTATTCTGCATCAGAGTTTATTGAAGAATTATCTGAAAACGAGGCAGATTTTGACAGTGATGATGATATAATGGGTGAAGCAGTTTATGATGAAGAATATTTAAGGAAACGGAAACAGCGGAAGATATCAAGTAGCTCGGAAGGAGATGATGAGTACCATTGGGATGAAGAAAATCCTGAAGATGAAGAAGAGGAATATGAAGATGAAGATTCCCCAAGTGCTAGTGAGGAGAGCGATGAACCTCGGAGTCGGAGATTTAAGAAACTGCCAGGCCGCACAAGAAGAGAAACCAAGTTGAGGTCAGTGGGCAACCTTCAGTCAGGTTTAAGACGCAGTAACAGGGCAACCAGAAACCGCATCAACTATAGCAATTTAGAGATGTCAGAATCAGAGACCGAGTCAATGAAACCTGAGAAGTCAAATGGATCCGAAGAGCATTATGATGCAAGTGACAATGCAGAGTTCTCAATGGGAAGTGATGACACAGAGGAAAACAATGATGAGGAGACGAAAGTTGAGCAACCGGTTGATGATGTGCCTTCTGAGATGGCAACAGTTGATCAAAATGATGTACCAAAGAGAACAAGCAGTCCAGATCAAGACCAAGATGATGTTGAAAGTGGAGGGAAAAGGCGCTTTCTTGATCTCAATGAGCTTGCCCCGGGTCCTGGATTCGATGATGGTCCTAATTCAGTGATGAAAGATGAAGGTGCAGATGACTTCTGATGTCTTACCCTGAGATCTGTTGCTTGTAGTTTGGTGTTGCAAGCTGATAGTTAACTCTGAATCCAATCCATGATGGAAGCAAAGGAGTTGTGTTTCCCGTGGAAAATTTTGGCAACTGTGATGCAGTTTGTTTATCCAAAGTGGGGCTAATCAGAAGTGAGAAAATTATGTAGATTGAGTAGTCATTTTTTTTGGCATTTCTACATTCACCTATGAGAAATGGTGGGGGAAATTCGATGAGAGTTTTCTTTCTTGTTCGCTGTACAATAACATTATAACTAATATTGTAACAGAAATATCACTTTTAGATGCTTAGAACCATTAATTTAGTTAGATGCTTGGTGTCATTTTCCTGTACACTCCGTATGTTGAACCTGTTTTGGTGATTGTGGTACGAAGTTTGCACGGTAATGTACTAAAAAAGGTTTGTCGGTTTATGCTACAAAGGTAGTTTGATAACCTTTTACACTTCCCACAATGGAACATCTTCTCACACGTTATGTCAAATACAGCTGTGAGTAAAACCATCTATGTTATGGCTTAGTCTCCCTTTTCTCTGCAATGTGTTTGCAGTTTCCTCTTTTCTTAGTTTCGGTTTCAGGCTACTGTTTGCCCAACTTTTGTAACTGTCGTCTAATTCCTTATGACCTCTGCATTCATCCTAAATGAAATAATTTATAGTATGCGAGTAGTGTAACATAACTACTGGAGAACATAGCATTGCAAATCAAGCCAGATAGACTAGTATTTGCGTGGAATTAACTTGTTAAACATCCTAATTTACAGCAAAACAAAATTAAAGATCAAGAGAAGTGTTGCTAATTACACAAGTCTTACGATTTACAGAGTGCACTTCTACATCTAAAACTAACATCTACATAATCAGTACTAATCCTACAAACCAAGTTCAAACCCAAGTGCCTCTAAGAAGAGCGCGAATTGGAGCAGTTTCACCAAAAGTCCTCACTAAATCCAAACAGGACGGATCATGTTCTGCTTCAGTTTCCGTCTTCAATTCCAACCCCAATTCTTCTTCTATATCATCAGAAGCAGATATCAGCAGAAATTCACACCCTTCATAGTTCAAAAAATCCGGTGGGTCTGCCGGATGGTACCTCAGATGCCCAAATTCACCTTGCAAGTGTGCTGGAAATGTAGCTTTCCTCTTTTTCTGAAGCCCGCGAAACTGCGATCCACTTCCATGTTGCTCCGGGTTCTTAACCTGAATCAGAAATGACCCTTCTCTTTTTATGTTCAATTCCTCCTGAGGTTCATTTTTCTCATCCTCAGCTGGAAATTCAAGCTTGTATACCAAATGGGTATGCATTTTCTTCTTCGGATTATGCCTCAAAATTCGATAAATTCCTTCTCCTACAGCTCTAGCTGGAGCAACTACACGGTGCCCTCTAGTTGCCGTGTCGTATTCTTCCCCTTTGAGAGCTGCTTTTACATCATCGATTTTCGTAGTCACCATTTCCACAAAACCCCAATATGGACGATGCCCTGTTTTCTTGCTAGGATCCGGGAGACTTTTCCGACCCATTACAATTAACCGGAGCAAAGGCTCCTTTTCAATATTAACTTCTTCTGTCCCATATCCTCCCTCACCGCCAGAATGTTCCTTATCGGAAGAAATATCACGGTTGGGTTCCATGTGAGAACCAAGTTCTTCACCTTCCTTGCCGGAATGAGGATCTTGTTTAACTTCAACGGAATGCTCGCCGGACTCTGGACGGAGAACTATGTATAAACGTTGGACATCGTCGGAGCCATGTGCTTCTTGTTTGCCGACTTTTGGTCGATAAAAGAAGAATATTTCCCCTCTTTCCTACAGGCATTAATTACAGAAAAATTAATAAACTAGATAAGAACAAAAGTAAAAAAGGGAGACAAGTACCTGAACTTGAACGTTGGATTCATTTTTAGTCTTCGAATCTTCGCCTTGTCCCATGGCAGAAATTTGGTCTTGGGAAGCTGCAACTACTGAGTGAGAAGTGAGAAGTGAGATTTTTTAAGATAGAATTGACAACTTTAATTAATGGAGGTGGAAACGGTTAAGGAAGGGCACGTACGTTCATGCTAATGAGACGTGTTGATCGTTTAGCGCATACTACTCTCCACGTTTCAACGTTGTCTTTAACAACCTAACTGCAGCTAAAGGCATTCTCAACACATTACGTGGGCATGTTAGAGCAAGGTAAATAATTGAGCTTTAACTTGTCCAAACTTAAACGGATTGAACGAATCAAGGTAGGGCTATTACACGTATTTCCTTTGAGGATAGTCATAAATATATTTTTATGGATTAATTTTACAACCAAATAAAATATGTAGCTGATTTTGACTAAATTTTAGTGAATAGAAAGATAGTAGTTTAGTAGGTATTCAAAATTCATAACATGCTTGTAAGTTCATTTTCAAATTGGAGAAAGAAAGCCTATTATAAGATGGAAGACAGGGAAAAGTAAAATTTGACGCCAAAAGTAGAAGAAAGACGAAACAAGTTCAGCCCCCACAAAGAGTATGGTAGTCCCCATATTCCAATTCAATCGCAGTCCATCAATAATATACACTGCTCCAAGTTTTAATTGGTGACGCTTTTATTCTCCTTTGAAATGGAATGAATAGTCAATAGCCATTGACCTCAAAATGTCTATGTTTTGTCACTTCAATTAGTCCTTTTCATGTTTCAAAATCAACCATGGTCACCACATAGCAAGCAGAACCTACCCCACATTTCCTCAACAACCGCCTGTGTTTTTGGTACATTGAATAGGTCAACTACATACCTCAAAGACAAACCAAAAGTTATGGAAAATGAATTTTCTAGCTAAGAGGAGATAGCAAAACTTGCATGAATCTCAAGCTCTGATTCTATGCTATGTAGGATGGATATAAAAGTATGGATTGGTTCTCTCTGCACATGTATGTCCCTACTTCTATACATCCAGAGATGAGGTTGAAAATGTATTCAAAAAATTGAAAGAAAAACGAGAGACGGTAGAGATAACAATGAAAGAATTTTGTAAGGGCCCCTAAGTAGCCCCGTATCATATCTAAAACTGAGGATTCCAGAAAGTTTACAGATGGTGGTACTATAACTGCAAGACTTGTCTACATCTTTCTCTGCTCAACTCTCAGTTACTTTTCTCTGAATCTCTAATTGTGTTCATCTCATGTTGCAGCAAAGGGGTCGCCCTTGCTGTTGTAGTTTGTTCCACATGCAAATCATCTGCCTAGGTGACTGATAATGAGCTGAATAATAATCTTCTACACAACCAGATTGGGAGAACTTCAAGCTGTGTACATATTGCACAGGTCTTGAGCTGTTGAATTTCTCAACCCACATTCCCATGCTTACATCCTCCATCTTGAACAACTGCGAGTCAGGAGAGCTTTGTTAGATATTTCATTGAACTGTGACACAGATGGAAGGGGAGTGGGATTTGTGCCTACCTTTAAGTTATAGCTATCATACTCTGAGACAATGAAGTTAGCGATGTCTGCTGAAACTATGTAGCCAGGTCCATTTGCATAAGCTGGATAATCTTCTTCGGGCCATTCCTGAGAAAAAAAGAGAGAATGGGAGACGAAATGAGATACTCAGATTTCGTAGGATTCAATAAGGCCACAGAAATTAAACCTAAGAGCGTTATTGAGACAAATTAATGGGGAAGGAAGCAACCAGACAACTATTTTGGCTAGTGCATATGTCGTGAAACTGGTGCATCCTTTATCTATATACCCTCCATTTAATCTCTTGAGAACACTCACCTATCTCAAGCATTTTGATTACTCACTATCATGTTAAACAATGAGGCATATGAAACTATGCACTTCTATATAACAGAATTAGGAGTCAAGACTAAAACTATACAACAGCATAGGATCTTTTAATATGAGGTAAAGATTTTGAGGAAGAGACGCACAAGAAGATCCAAGCTCTTACCTCATATGTTACTGCCCATTTACCACTACGCAGGGGTTTATGGTGGTAATTGATATTTCCAATATATAAGCTCCTATTTTCGGGCACTTTCTTTACTTCCTTGATAACTGCATCTACTCTCACAAAGGTATCATCGTCGCACTTCATGATATTTTTGGCAGATGCTACACGGACCTGCAAAAAACCAAACGTATATATGAGGTTAACTTTCTGGGGACAAAATTAATGTCAATGTTCAGGGGCAATCCAGAAACGTACCCCATATTCACAGATGGCAACTGTTTTCAGAACCACGAGGTCGTAGTGATCCATATAAGGAACAATGACGATGTCACCAAAAAAATCAGCTTCTTTCTTTAGCTCCACATTAACTTCCTTTCTTGCATGCTGTCAAAAATCCATCTCAAGATTAAGTAATTATTTTAACAGCACCAACACCAATATTAATAGAAATAAATATTTCCAATAGGTTCCATATGCTACCGTTATGTCAACTTACCAATGCAACAAAGAATCGAGCCACAACATTTGAAGATCTGATTAGCTGATGCTGCATCCAAGACTTCCTTATAGCCATCCGCTCAGCAAAATGATTGCCAGCAGAAAGAATACCAATGAACATATCTACGGGCTGATCAAGGAGAGGCGGTGCCTTCCATCTGTTTGACATATCAAGATGTCTTTGAGGTGCAAAATTGGGATGTGTTGCTGGCAAGGAGGCAGCAAACACCGAATCAACATCAATGTCACCGTTCAATGACAAACCAGTAGCATCCTCAAGGGCAAATCCCTGACAGCACAAAGAAAGAACCTTAAAAATAGTCCACAATTAAATACTCCAATATGAACTTGAACTAAGTAGTATGTTACTCACAGTTCGATATGGAAATGAGGTCACATGCCTCCCATCAACATTTATATGATAACCCTCAAAGCCAGCACTAAGCGTTAGCACAAATAACTTCTCCTCTGAAAATGGGAATGGCCAATCAATAGACATCTTCTTTGTTCGCCCAGCAATAAGCCGGTTTAACCACCACGATGACTTTGATTGCTCAGAATGAGTGTCGTTGTTATCTCGAATCCAGTTCTCACACTTAACCTGTCTATCAACTGCAAAAGATAACCTATGTTACCTATACATTAAGCTACTTCACCAATACAACAGACAGTGCAACTCACAATGCATTCTCAGTTAATTTTTTTCCTTCAATACTTCAAAATCAATAGTCAAACTTTCAACAGAGAGATGCATAGCCATAACCTCCTATCCACCACCCCATACTTCACCCAAAGTACAGATTTTTAGCTTAAATTACTACATCAATGAACAAAATTTAAAGTTCAATTACTCAATAAAACATAGGGAGCAGTTAAGAGTAAAAGCAATAAACCGAATTCATTGTCTCACCAGTTTCCTCCGTATCCTTGGACCTCAAGCCGTCACATCTTTGAGCCGTCCCCCACTGCATCCTATAACAAGTGTTTTGTTCAATCACAGGCTTTCCACTCCAATCACCCCTCAATCTCGGATTGAGATGGAGAATCCTTGGTGGGTCCTCTCCATCAACCGTCTTCAGTCCCTGTAACTCCATCATAAACTGTGAAACCATCAAGAATTGACCAGTTTTCAGCAAAGATATCTTCGGGTCCTGCTCCGGATGGGCCTTCTTTGGTTTCCCAACAACTGTAATATGGGACCCTAGAGTAAGCCCGCATGGCAACACCATCATTCTCCCTTTTTCCTGAAATTCCAACCCGGAAATCGAAATCGAATGTGGGCATTCCTCTGTCTTGTTATTATAATCTACAGGAATCGCTTCTTGTCGGTGCAATTCAAGCTCTTCCCAGAACTTTTTACCTACATCAAATGCCTCTTTTGCAGACTTCAAAATCCCCGAAAACCCATCAGTGCTATTCATATTCACGGAGCTTCCATTAAAAGCTAAATTCGATAACAAAGTGTGCAATTCTCTGATTCTTCTTCTCTCCGGCCTGGATTGATCCAGAACCCTAACTGGCGCATCAACAGGACGATTTGGGGCCTTCCTTTCTTCCACATACTCTTCACTCTCAAGCACAAAAGTTTTAGAATTCAAATGACGGTTTTTAGCAAAACCCTCTTGAGAAACTAAACTAAACCCAGTTTTGAAAACAAATGGAACTTCTAAACCCACCAACACCACATAAACAAATGCTATAAAAATCAAAACTTGGACCGATCTTTGCCGACTCCAAGACATAAACATATCAAATTTTGCTTTCTTCATTTTCAAGATTCAACCCCCACAATAAAAAAAAACTGCAAAAATCCCTCTTTCAATGGCCAATAGTCATAAATAAATAGAAAACTGAAATGGGTTTCTCCGAAAGTTTCAGAAAAAAATACAGCTTGGCCAAGAAAGAGGGAAACCAGTTGAGAAGAAGAATTAATAATTCAAGAAAAACATGATCACAAACGCGTTTAAACAAGTAAAGTTGATATAAATAGAGAGAAATGAAAGAAGAACAGAGGCTATTGGATTCTGTATACTTTCATTGAAACAAAATTTTACTACTAATATATAGTATAGAGTAATAATATAAACAAACTTTTTTCAATTCAAAATAGAAAAAAAAAACAAAAAAACTTGTGTTTTGAAAGGGACCCAAAAGAATATTTTGTCTATTTTTATCAGATACTAGTAAAAAGGAGAATTAATTGTTTGCTACTTATTTTCATATAAAGCCCCTAAAATCCTTGCATATTTATTATTAGGTCCTATACTTTTCTTAATGCGCAAACAATTTTCTTGTATTTTTAGAATTAGTATAATTTTGGGGGTTTTACGATATTTTAATTGTTTTTAGATTTTAAAATTTCATATTCAAAAGTTTAATATAATTGGATTAGCTAAATGAGTCAAGATCTATAACACTTGCCTTGGATTACATCTCCAAAACGTATTTGGTATGTAAATTATTTCGACAATTTAGTAGTCAAAGTCAATTTATGAATAAAATTTTATTTGTTAGACATATTATTTTTATTATTATAATGAATAAGCTGTTGAAATGATATACGTAGAATTTTGGTAACAACGAATTATTAAGTAGTAAGTATTTTAACAAATTTTGTAGCCAAAATCAATTTGTGAATAAGTTCTGTTTTTAATTACTAAGTTTTTGAAATTATATAGATTAGTTTGGTAATAACAAATTAATAACAATTATAAACTAGTTCAAACTAGTTTCCTTATAATTAAACTAGAACTAAACATTAAGGGCTTTTTTAGTTGTAGTCAACGCAAATCTAATTTGAAAAATAAAACTAATTAGATATTTATAAATAATGAAAGCTTAAAAGCTAACTAGTTTTAATGAAGTGTATAAAATTTTCATAATAGTAGGCATTCACATTAACTATACCATATATTTTGTATATAAAATTTGATGTTTATAGGAATTTTTCACTATTTATTGTTAATCGTACAACTTTAAACTAAATGTGTTCAAATTTTTTGTATACTAACACACTAGCTAGAGCTTTCAAGTATATCAAAAAATCAAACTATCTTTTTTTGAGAATAACATCACATGATATATAATAATTTCAGTCTTCACGTGCTATTTGTAACTATTTATCGCTTAATTAACAATGTGTTATTCACGTGTTATGCATGTGTAATTACTTTATCACTTAATAAATAACTTATTATTATTTTATTTTTTACTGCAATATAATACAATTATTACTCCCTCCCTCCGTTCACTTTTAATTGCACTATAGAATTAATGTAGCAAAAATGGACAAGAAAATGAAAGTTCATTTTTTGTTAGAAACGAATAAAACAAAGGGATGTATTTAGTAAAATCCGGAGTTTAATTGGAGGATGTCACTTAGATGGCATTTGTTTGGTTTGTAGTGTTGGCAAAAAGAGTTTTCACACAGAGCTTATGAATGTCAAACAAATTAGGGTCTTTGTTTTTGTATTTGTCTTCTTTTCACTAATCGATAATAGCATTTTAAAGTCCTAAATTATTGATAAGTTTGAATTTGATCCTCATATTTGGGACTTAAACACATGTAACATTGAATTAACAATAATATGTATTTTTAGTACTAATCTTTTAGAAAATACTGTTTTATTTAATCTCGATTCATTGAAATTTCAATATTCTTAGTTAAACATTTCCTTCATTTATTTTTACTTATTTATAATAGACTTTGCATGTCCATTCAGAAATAACAAACAAAAAATACATATTTTATAAAATAAAAACACCCATATTAATTGGTGTAGAGTCTTCCGTCTCGTTCACACATGATTTAAAATTAAATCGGTCTGAAGTTGAACTTTTGTTTGGATATACAATTTAGATGTTTTAGGGTTGTATTTTTTCCATAAACATGAAACCATACTAGTTGTTGTGAAAATTATAAAAAAAAAATTACACAGTTTTTATACAATCTTACCAAATGAGCAAGTCATGGTTCATTAACAAGATATTAGAATATCTTAAGGCGCCTATAAATAAATTGCATATCTCCATGTACATTTTATGAATAAATATTTACGATTATAAACTTTTAAATATACATAATTTTACAAAAAGTCATTAACTAACGATATAATAATTAGTTAATATTCTTTAATACAATTCTTTTTCACATCAAACATGAACCAATATTTTAAACTTTCTTCTACTTACAACAAAGAGAAGATAAACTATAAGAATTACTTTATGAAATAAATATATATTAATGTATTAGAAATTAACAGCAAAAATGAATGACAACGATTTATAGTAGTAATATTTTATGGTGGAATACATGTCCCTTGAGAAAATGTTATCTGGAAAGATTATAGTATAAGCTGTGCGCCACATGTTATATTATTCCCTCTTCATAAAGAATATTACGAGACATGTATAGTAAAGTTTCTATTATAATTATAATTATAATGATTACATCAACATATTATAACTCATTCATTTTCATTTGTTGTTGAGAGTTGGCATTTGGCATAAGGTTTGTCTTAATTTTTGCCTGTCTTATGAGGGTCTAATAATTGTATGATTGTAACATTGTTTTTGAAAAATTCAAATGTGTATTTGATTAGTCTCTTCTGGCCGCCGTTGTCGACAACTCGGTTTTATTTTCCAGTGGTGAAAGAGTTGGACGGACTATTTCTTTCTACTATTTTTCTATTATTATTTGACAGCCATGAGAATCTTTCAACTCAAATATAATAGAGTAATATACTTATGTATGTTGTTTCCTTCTAATTTCTAACTATACGATAAACCCAAAACTTCATTACCTATAAGATAATTGTATTGTAGAGTGATTGCTTATATAATCACTCCATTTGTGGAAATAATAAGTAGAAATAAAAAAGTCATTCAATTTATAAAAAATGGTACTCTTTCCATCTCATTACATGTAACACTCTTTGTTTTGACATGATGTTTAAGAATAAAATGATTTTTTTTTCTTCAAAATTGTGGTCCAAAACAATCATTACATATTTGTGTATTTGAAAATCATTTCATTAAGAGTAAAAAGTGAATTTTAAAGTTAAGTTATTTTTAATTATAGTAAAGTGACATTTTTTTTTAACAAAATCATTTTTTTAATTTTAATAAATAATAATAATAGAGAAGTCACTTTAGTATTCTTCTAACGTGAGAAACCTTTGGTCTCCACTCATATTGGAGTCCACATACTCTTCCTGAAATAGGAGTTGATACTTCGTGAACAAGTTATTTCCATGCCATTTTGTATTTCTAATCCTATTTAATCAAATTACTTACACTAAGATAATTAAACATTGAATTTTATGCTTAATCAAATTATGTAATTCAAAATTCATAACATAGGTTAATAATTTTGTAGAGTTGATTGTTCTATAATCATTCAATTTGTGAAAATAATATAATAAAATTATTTTTGTTTATTTTGTAACAAAAAAGTCATTCAATTACTAAAAATAGTATAACTTTTTTCTAAAACTGGAAAAGTCACTTTAGTATTGTTCTAACGTGAGATACCTTTGGTCTACACTTATATTGGAGTTAGTGGCGGAGCTAGAATTTTAATTAAGGGGTGTTAAAATATTAAAAAATTTAATCACATAAAAGTTAAAGTGTATCAATATGTAAAAATAAAATTATATATATATATATATATATATATATAATGTCATGTCTGCCTAATAAGCTTTGGTAGACAGAGTTACCCTATTGAATATTTTTATATAACTAAAGAATATAATTTTTGATGAAGATGTGTTCCGCATACTCTCCTTCAAACAGGAGTTGCACATCTTTATATTTACTTCCTTATATTTTAAATTTCTAAGTGAAAATTCTGGCCTCAAACGCGAGTCTCCTTTGTAATGTTGCTCCTAAGTGTAGGTAATAGTAGATATCAAACTAATTTCCAACATGAAGTATATTAGTAATAGCTAGCTCTTTATCATGCCAAAGATGTGGGGTTTTAAGCAGAGATCAAATGGTCATTTTCATATATTCTTTACTTAGTTGAATAATACAGTATTAATTTACATTTGTTTATAATAATAATTCTCAAAAACTTGTGATCTCTATGAAACTAAAAGAGAGATGTATTTACTATTATATAGTTTATTTGCAAAATAATAATTCAATGTTTAACCAAATTAATTCACCCAATTCGAACCTATTTCAAACGCTCTTTGAAACTTGTATATTTTTTGAGCTTTGTTTAATAACTCATCTAAAAACTGTTTGACGGAAAATACATTCCATCAAGCAAAATAGTTAAATGGAAAGTGATCTCATGCTTTTCTTGCCTTCTTTTAGGGCATCCATAAGAAGGTTCAAAACTTGTTATTAATTCTTATCTCTTCTTCAACATTCTATTCTTTCATTTTCCCTTCATCTATATATTGTTTTCACTTCTATAAATATAAATTTTATTTATAGATGGGGAGACCTCCTTGTTGTAATGATAAGGTACATAATAGAAAATGTAATTGGACAGAAGATGATGCTAACACATCTACATTTGTCTCAATCAAACATGGAATTGGTAATTGGGCAACCATGTCTAAGAAATCAGGTACAAAGTCGATGAAACTCGATCTGTAGGTGGGCGACCATGAGTTGTTGTCTCCTTATATGGTCTTGTATAATCTTTACATGATGATCTAACATTGGGGATTGAGTACTTATGCTCGCAATCCATTTTTAACATATTATTAAAGAAGGACCCATCAATGCTTTTGTGTTTCCCAATGTTGGCTCTGATGTTATGTTATCCACACTTCAGTTGTCCTGATCTAGACATGTGAAACATGCTACATTGGTTGAGGGTATATGGTTTTGTTTTTTTCCATTTGATTATGGGCGATTTTGTTCGCCACTTTGAGTTAGTTAGGCCTAAGATTCATTTCATTAACAATTTGCTTGCCGAGTACTAAATTACAAGATTTTTGTAAATGAGTGCATTTTTTAACAGGATATGGGAGGAGTCAGAAGCAGAGATGGAACAATCGTCTTAAGCCTGATCTTAAACAGGACAGCTTTACGCCTCAAGAAGAGGAACTGATCATTAAGCTTCATGCCACTATAGGAAGCAGGTGTGTACGCTCTGAATACTTCGAGCCTATTCATCTTAGCTAATTAAAACTAGTTAATAAGCATCGCGTTGAAGTAATGAAACAATTTTTTTTTGAAGGTGTATTGACAAATATTGCGTTTAGCTTATAGTTTTGACACTTTAAAATATTGTAGGTGGTCTATAATAGCACAACAACTAGCTGGGAGAACAGATAATGATGTGAAGAACTTGTGGAACACTAAGCTGAAAAAAAAGCTATCTGCAATGGGGATTGATCCTGTTACTCACAAGCCTTTCTCACAAATTCTCACTGACTATGGAAACATTGGTGGCTTCCCGAAAGCCAGAACGCGTTTCGTGTCTCTTAACAGAGAGCTAAAAGGTGCATTTATGTCTAGACCAGAACAACTTCAACATTCTTTACAAAATTTCCAAAATTTTAACAGCCTTTGTGTGAAGCTGCCAAAAACAGAAGCTTCAGAAGAATGTTTCTTTAGCAACAATCAAGATTCCAGCAATATTAATCAACCTCCTGTTGATCTGTTTTCGGAGTTACAAGCCATAAAATTTGTAACAGAGGCCTCAAATTACAATTACCCAAAGGCAGTTTTCTCCCATCATCCAATTCCTATAACTGATTGCTCTACGTCTTCGCCTTTGTCATCTTCGTCTTCATCATCAGCATCTCATTCATTAGCTGAAAATCAAGTAAACTGGTGTGACTATCTTCTTGACGATGCATTTCTTCCATCGAATTTCAAAGATCAAGAGGACACATTAACCATAGAAGAAAAGTTAGTGTGTGGTGGAGGTGAGGATGGATCAAACAACGTGCCATCAATGAAGGATTTTGAAACCTCGTTATCTACAAAGGGCACATCATTTGTCGAAGCCATGTTAGAATGTGAAAATGAAATGTTCTTGAACTTTCCTGGCCTCTCTGAGGATCCCTTTTACTAGTGAAAATGCCACTAATTGATGGCCAAGAATTAGACTTAGCTTTGTTTTATGTCTCCAATAGCTAAGTTAATGCAATTTCTCTATTTGATATATTCCAATTTGGGAGTTGGGACTGGTCCAAACTGTTGCAGTGATACATTGTTGAATTGTGTTTGCCTAACAAGTGAACAAGAAAAGCATCTAAGTTTTCGTGTCATCTAATGAGTTTTTAGTAGATACAACCTCCTTTTAGTTTAACTTGTTACTTTTCGATTCTCGAACACCATCATAAAAAGAAACAGCATTTCTTTCCGCTGCATTCTGTTTTTAAACTCTCCTGTCACATTGATTGCTAGACAAACAAAGAGGTCACATCTACGTAAGTTTTGGTAGGCAGAGTTATCTGGTGCCCTATTGAATACTACAGAGTACACCCGCACCATGGCTTAATTTTTGAATCTAGAAATGTGTTTATAACATCTCGAAATTTGTTATTTGTTCAAGATGTGGTGAGAAACAATTCTCCAATTCAAACGGATGTTGGGCTTATGGATTTTAATCTTACTCTACTTGTGGGACACAAAAAGTAAAATTTTGAAATTTGTCAACAACAGTATGTGAGTATGCTCTTGTGCAATGTATGGGCAACCCATGCTGCTCTTATTCTTACAAGAGTTGTTGCTGCACCTCCCATCCCTTTCATTCCATCCTCACCTTACGTGGTATTTTTGTTTGCACATTCTGCTTGAGAACATAAGACTGGAGGAGTACTAAAAAACGTTACATGAAGTCTTTTGCACATTCTGCTATGAGGTCATCTCGTGTTCAAATCCCTATAAAAACAAAAACACTAGGTGATACATTCCATTTTGTTTTAGTCTTTGGTGGATAAAGGTTAGCTAATACCAATTGTTTGGTGGCGATGCTGGGAGGTCAGAGGTTCAGATATCCTGGGGAATTAGTTTAGGGATACGAAAACTAACATGGAAACCACAAGTGATTCAAAATTGATTGAAAAAATTGGTCCATTGATGGTATGTAGGTGACATTCAATATACTTCATTTGTCTCTAATTACTTGTCCATTTTTCTTTTTATAGTTATCCCTAATTACTTGCCCATTTTGATAAATCAAAAAAAGACAAAATAATTTTATCTATTATACCCTCAATTAATTACTTTGAAAAAGATATAATTTCTTGAAAATCTTAAATTTTTAATTCATTCACTTCATAATTAATAGAGATAAAATAATAAAATCACTATGTCAATAATTACTTTCTTAATAGGTGTAGTACGACGGTAACAAAGCAAAAGAAAAGCAACTCACCTATATTCAAAATTTGCCAACTAGTGTTAGGTAGTTAGGCGCTGTTGACCAGAACAGACCACTCACGTTTTGTTGCTTTCTAGGATTGATGCAACGAATACATGATTTTGATGGATCATTAAATATGACACACCCAATATTAAGGTTTGACTGTAAATGCCATCTAAATGACGGTTGCTCCGAGCAATCAGAGTAGGTTCATTTTAGAAATTTTATAATTCATTTCACATATTTTAAATTTAAAATTATAAAATTCAGTAAAAATAGGTCAAATAAATTAAAATAGAGAATATTATTATTATTTTTTATTAAAAAAAAAAAACTATTAATATAGTGACCAATCAACCTATGTTTCATCACTTTTTATTTGCAAAAATAATAATTTACTTCTGCCAAAAGAAATAGCGACCAACATAGATTGTGGTGCTGGTGTAACATCCTTAACCACAGATATTAGCTCTAGTAATGAAGAAAATCTTATTAGAAACGTCACCTAAAATAGACACCGCATAATAAATAATAGTCCAACTAGGAAAGTTAACAATGTGCCTTATTTTTCTCCGCAAGCGGCGCACTTAACTTATAGGGGGGGAAAACAGATCTATAGCTCAACTATCACAGGTCCCAATCCAGTGAACTAGTTGAACGCTTGCCCCCCACCCCTTCATATCTAGCACATTCTCCAATACAATAAATTACACTATTTCTCTCCCATTTTACTCTTTCCTCTTCCATTTCTAGTTATCCCCAAAATTAGACCTTAGCTGCAACTCCTGCAATGGATCCCACTCTCAAAAAGCAACCTAAACCTACCCCTTTCTCCGCCACCACAAACTCCAAGCCCCACCCCCCACCAGATCCCACCCCAACTATCCAAAACATCTCTTCTCACTTCTCCAAGCTTTATGCAAATCACAAAATCCTCAAATCTGGCCATAGACATCCACCTCCTGTTGACACTCATTTACAGGCTAAAACTCTGGCTGTTGCTTCCTCTGCTTTTGATTCTTCATGCTCTGCTTTGACCAAGTCAAAAAGCCAACATGGGAGGAGATATGTGCAGAAGGATGTTGATAAAGCTATTGTCTTGCAAGAAAAAGGTGAAATCAAGAAAATACCCAATAAGGAGAAGGAGTTGAAGAAAGAGGTGGATGTGAAAAGGGCATTAGCTCTGTTATCCAAGGACCAAGATAGTGAACAGTTGAAGGGGTTTCAACAAAGGCCATCTTTTTCCTTGTCTTTGAATGGTGGAGGCAGGAGGAAATCATTCGGTTGCTCACAGACTGAGTTAGCTGATTTCTTTTCTTGTAGTGGTGTGAAAGTTGTGTCTGTTGATATGCCACCCTTTATGCAGATTCATGCTGTGGATTTTGCAAGAAAAGCTCATGATAGCTTGGAAAAGTTCTCCTCTAAATCACTTGGATTTTCCCTAAAAAAGGTAAACACTTCAATGATTGTGCAATCTTTGGTGATTATGAGATTTGAGCTTTTCATTACTTTGTTTAAAATTGTGTTTTTCTTGATTTTTAGGAGTTTGATGGGGTCTATGGACCAGCATGGCACTGTATAGTAGGGACCAGTTTTGGCTCTTTTGTCACACATTCAGTAGGTGGTTTCATATATTTCTCCATGGATCACAAGCTATATGTACTCCTTTTCAAGACTACTGTACAAAAAGCAGAATCAAGTTGAAATCTTGAGGTGAAATGAAATTCCTTTTAGCATAGGGAAATTTTTGCGAAAAAAAGTTTGCTATCTCTGTCTGTGTAGTTTTGTACATCAGCTTTGATTTAAAAAAAAAAGCAATGGTAGTTCTATAGTTCCTTTAACTGTGCCCTCTCTAAAGAGGGAAGTGTAGTGTATTGATCATTGGCATATTTGAGTAACAAATTGTATACTGTTACATTTTGTCCTCTGGCGCAGAAAGTAGATAAAATTATTTAATGGTGGTGTCCATGATGGAGTGATTGACAGTACTAGTAAATGGACCATCAATGGAAGTTATGAGGATAACTCTCTAGTTTTTACCATACTGCAGAAAGATTTGGGTGTCTGAGTAGATGAACTGACTTTACTAACTTTAATTTTCATATCTTGTTAGTTCTGAAAAAGTTACTGAAAAGTTTCCACTTACCAATGAATGTGTTGGTACCCTTTGCGTGTTCAAAGCCCCAATTGATTCTTGATGTACTGGAATCCAAAGCCAAAGGGGAAGAAATGATTTTTTTACAGGGGAGGGGTTGATCAGTTCCATTTACTACTGTGTTCCCTGCTACCTACTTGTAAGATAGAAATTGGAATCATACATGTGAAATTCAAATTTCCTTTAGCTCATCCAAGTTGTGCATACTGGCTGATCTTCTTCTTGCATCAGCTGTATAAAAAAAATTATGTTGGACTGTCGGTGTATATCTATCATAGTTAGTAAGTAAGTAGTTTCCTAAATCCAAAATGGGCTAGTTGTTTTTTAGGTCAAGAGATAGGATTGTTATCTCACCAATCTCGGGATAACTTGTTCGCCAATCAAATAAGTTCTTGTACTTTTGAAAAAACATCAGCAACTCCAACTTATCTAGTTAACTAAAGGTTTCACTAGTACCAATATTTCTAACAGAGTATTGTAAGTGTTGAAGTGGTGTTGATAGCTTGGTCGTATCCTTATGTAGGAAATGTTAAATTGAGTACTAATGATAGTGCCAAGATACAAATTGGAAATGTTGTTTTTTGAAAGAATTTTTTGGTAATGACCAAAGAAAATGGATATTAGAATATTCAAGTAAATAAAACTTGTCTCAAAGCTTACCATAACATTAAGCAAGAACTCAAACTATCAAAGGCAATGGGCAAGTAAACTATCTATTAGCAATCTAACTTTACACACACACACACACGAGGACATATTGAATCACCCTCTTGGGGCAATAGTTGAAGATTGCAAATACTTGTTGAAAGCCATCAAGATGGATATGCTTGTAAGCAATGACGCGATTAAAGAAATTGAATTTTTGCTCTTGGATTATCTAAGCAATGTAGCTTATGAAAGATGTTAGCTCTTTTATTTAGTCTTTTCCAATGCACCAAAGGAAGAAAAAGGAAGAATTGGAATCATAATCACTTGTCGTAAAATAAATATGTCTAAAATGGACACATAAACAAAGTGTCGCTTTGGCCGAGTGGTTAAGGCGTGTGCCTGCTAAGTACATGGGGTTTCCCCGCGAGAGTTCGAATCTCTCAGGCGACGAATATTTTTTTAATTATTTGATGGCCTATCGGAAATAACCTTTTTACACACCAAGCGATAATTATTTATTTATTTTGTATTGGGAACGTCCTAATATGGCAGTGTGACGCTAAATTGCTTCCTTTTTCTCGAATAAACAAGTAAATTACTCACTCATTTTCCAATTAATATTAGGTTTCTGAAAACAATTTATGGAAAATTGATAATAATGTTAAGAAACTTGATAATGTTTTGATAAAAAGTTAGTATGAAAATTAATACTCCTAATTATATTGTAGCTTCATTGTTGGTAAGAACAAGCGTATGTGTACAATAATCTGCATGCCCTGGATTGCTATGTATAATACAATTATAAATAACCATTTTATATTTTTCTCTAACCAAACATCAGAAAATAACTTAATATTTTCCAGCAGACGCACAATAAGAATAAAGATGGGCTAAATTTGAAATGAGAAAGGGATATGGTTTTCAGCTTTAACGTTTTGTGGCCCAGCAAATTCAATGTCATTGAAAGATGATTATAATTCTTTGGGTTAATGGTAATTTAAAATATGCATTTTTATTGGCGGAGCCATAATTTTTCTAAGTGATTCAAAATATAGAAAAGCAATCGCAGTAAAAAGTGGAGAGAATTTAACACTAACTATACATATACATACGTAAAAAATAAATTGATATTGTGTTGGTTTTAAACCAACCAAATTAACCCGGGTTACAAAAAACATAAGAAGTACTCTACTTGTTACTTATTTCTAAAATAAATTTTTATTTTTACTTGTTACTTTTGACATACATCAAGAAAAGACAATTACTATTTTTCCATGTTTTACTCTTAGCATTAACTATTCTCCAAATTATTTTCCAAGAGTTAATACTAAACATCAATTAATCGGGATAGTGTGGTAAATACCTATATCAATAATTGTTTTCTTAATGGTGTGTCAAGTCAAATAGTGACAAGTAAAAATAAGCAGAGCAAGTAGGTTTTTTTTACTTATTTAAAAAGTTATTTTGGCAAATGATGAGCGTAGAAAAAAAATTTGACTTAGAAATAATAATAATAGTAGGAAATATAGAAATAAATAGAGGCCCGCAAAGACATGGTTGAGTGATTGAGAGGTGAGTCTGTGGGAGACTTGTCTAATACGATTTACATTTTCGGTGTAATTTATGAGCTATTGCACAGTAAGCATATTAGTGCTCACCCCAAGAACAAAGATTGTAAATTTCTCTGGATCTCATAGCTAGATATGAAAATTTAATTATTATTTTTTTACGTAGAAGTTAGACCTTATAAATTATTAATTCTAAGAATGAATACTTAAATGAAGCACAAGGTATTGTGGTGGAATAAATAAGATCTGATATATGTATTATGTAGTGGATATATTTAATAAATAAATAAAAAAAGCACTGATAGGAGCATAAAATTGAGAATGTCAATCCCAAGCAACTAAATTTTTATTTTTGCTAATTTCTCGATAAAACACAATCATAATAAAAATATAGTTCAAATGCTGATTTGATCGCTTCTTCATTGTTAATCCAGACCTCGCTTTGCAACGAGGGAAGGTCAGCATCAAGATTTATTTATTTTTAGGTTTTAAACTTTTTTTGAAGGTCAGAAAGTCACTTTGTGACTTATGTCTTGCTTAATTTAGAAAATAGTACGTAATTAAAATGCGTGTCCAATTCGGCTTGAAAACCTTTAGAATTGTGATTTGAAAAAATGTTACTTTATCATGCACTAATAATTGTACCTCATTTTCAGCAAAAGAAGTTCGACTCTGAAAATTTTAAAATAAATTAACGAATATTGAGGAAATTAAGAAATAATATTCTTTTCGTCCATTTTAATTTGTCCAATATTGACTTTACAGTTGACACATTCCTGGAGGATCAATAAATGTAGTATTAATTTTATAATTTCTATAGTTAACTAATAAGAGTAATTTTGAAACTTGAATTAGCTCTTTATTTTTAGTTAAGTGGACGAGCAGAGACGGAGCCAGGACTAAGAGTTTGGGGGTTCTAATTAAATTTTCTTTAATACCGTCAATCAATTTTGTTAGATTTCACAAATTAATATACATTTATATTTAATTAATTTTCTAGTACAAATACCAGGTCTACGGAAAAGCTACTGGGTACGTCCGAACCTACGAACCCCCACCTAGCTCCACCTCAGTGGACGAGTAAGTAATAATTTACCCGTGACTACATTTGACTGTCATAAAGTTGATGCCACCAAAATATTAACGTACCATATATGGAAATTAAAAAGAGTCATATGATGAACATACGAATTAGCCCATCCATATATATAATATATACAACCAATGAAAATTTGACATTTCACAAAAATAAAAAGCATATTGGAAAGATGAACAAATCAATTCCCATCGATCAAAGTTTTGTTCCACAATTTTATAATGTTCCATATTCTAATCTTGATGTAACAGTGGTTAAAAAGAAATGAACGTACGAAAAGAACATTATATTATACTCCATTTATAAACACATTAAAAATATACTCTAATAATAAGATGAATTTTAGCATATGTGTCACTTTCGAATTGGGTGAAGGACCATAAGGTGATGACATGATGGTATAAATAGTTACAAATAAAAGCCGTAAAAAGTCACTACACCAAATCCTTTGGTTTAGAGCACATTTTAAATACCCAAAGAGAGAAAGTAGTACAAAGGAATTTGGGAAGGAGTTTGTCACTTTCATGCATGACGACCTAAACATACCGTGTTCGGAATGGATGATATTCCTCTATTCTTATTCAAAGATAAGGAACACTTCGATCTCCTTTATGGATCCTATATTATAATATGGATATGTTGGACTAGACGTAGATTCAAAATTTTGAAGTTTATGATATCTGCAAAGACTTCAAGTTAATATATACTATAATAATAATTGTGCCCATGATCAAATATTTACTTGCAACGTCCAAGCAAAACTATTGAATCTACATAAATTCATTACCCATCCTTTGAGTTGGACCAACTATGAATACCAAACACCAGATTATTATATTGAAAACGAAAAAACCTATATATATTATTAATGTAGAGAAGGAAGTATCAAAGGCACATGTAAGTAATACTATGTTAAGTAAAGTTCAAAGTGAACTTTCGAGTGAGTTGATTTTTGCTTGACTTTGAAGTGTGTGGGTAAGCAAGAAAAATTAGGCAAAAGAGAGGAACAGAATTCTACTTGAATACTTAAAAGAGGGAGGTTAGGCCAATTTGATGAATCATGAAAGCTTCTTGCAACTCTAATTGCTAAGACAAATTAGGGTTTTGTATTAATCATATGTGGCCCCAAACTTATCCATCTCTTTAATACCAAACTATATGATTGATTTTTCACGCATATTTATCATTAATTGTCCAAACCTATTAAGACTACTTGGTGTTTGTTATTGTTAACTAACACATGCACTTTAGTGACGCTATATTCTTTTATTTGAGGAAAAGGTAGGCATGTGATCGATCGTCAAACATAATTATGACAAATTCAAAATTCATAAACTCTATAATTTTGATCGTCTCTAATTAGAGATGAAAATAATTGTAAACACTTCTATTAGGATGAGTGAGGGTAAGGAAAAAGGAGGACAAATTTATTCACACTCAATACTATTTGTATCGATATAATAAATACAAGATATGTGTATTTATATAAACCGTTAATTTATTGATTTGGTTAGACATTTATTCAATTTACTTTTAATGTTTTCAAATCAAATAT